CAGCAGCCAGACACAAAGAAAGGCGGAGTCGCAAGGAGACACCAGGACTCAGAGGAAGCAGCATGGGCAGTACAGAATAAAGGTAATAAAGCCACGAGGCAGAAGGTAAATTAATAGAAATGGGTTAAATTAAGTTATAAGAGCTAGTTAGAAACAAGCCTAAGCTGTTAGTCAAGCTTCCATAATTAAAAGACATCTCTGTGTGGTTATCTGGCAGCTGGCTGGCAGGATAGAAAAAGTCCAACTACAGTCTGCACATATAGTCTGTGCACCACATTTGTGCGTGGTGCCTAGGACACCAGAAGGTGTCAGGTCCCCTGGAACAGAAGTTACAAACAACCATAAGCCATTTTGTGAACACTGGTAGTCAAACACAGGTTCTTTGGAAGAACAGCCAGCAGTCTTAACCACTGAGCCATCTCTCCAGTCCCTAGAAGTACAATCCTTAATACTCAAATATGCAGGCATCTTATTGGGGTTACTATTGCTGTAAAGACCATGAATAAAAGCAGCTTGCAAAGGGAAGGGTTTATTTGGTTTACATATTCAGCATCACACAAAGTCCATTGAGGGAAACCAAGGCAGGGACTCAGATCAGGGAGGAGCTGGTGCATAGGCCATGGAGGAGTGCTGCTTACTGGCTTGTTTCTCATGGCTTGCTCAACCTGCTTTCTTTCTGTTTATTTTTTTCTTTCTTTTAGTTTTTTTAATCTTTTTCACTTATTTTTTTAAAAAGAAAACAATCTTTTTTCATTTTACATACCAATCCCAGTTCCTGCTCCCTCCCCTCCTCCCTTTCCCTCCACCTATCCCCTACCTCACCCCCATCCACTCCTCAGACCACCAGCCCAGGGAAGCCACCATCCACAATGGCTGGGTCCTCCCACATCAATCACAAAGTAAGCAAATGCCTGATGAACTCTCCTGCAGCCCCATCTTGTGGAAGAATGTTCTCAGTTAAGGCTCCCTCCTCTGGGATGACTAGAGCTTATGTCAAGTTGACATAAAACCAGTCAGCACAGCAGGCTTTTCAGTTACTAGTTTCTTTATTGGCTTATGACTTAATTTCTCTGAGGTCAGAACATAATTTGAACAACTTAAATTCTTTGAAATGTGTTGGCTTCTGATGCAATGTACCAATTATATATCCCAAAGATGGTCCTGTTTCCCCAGCCATATGCCTCTCTGCGATGTGATCTTGCACTTTACAGAACAAGAACTGTCACTGACCAAGAGAAAACAGCTGGCCTGGTAGTTCTCTCATCCTGCTGGGAAAATGACCACCATGGAAGAAGCGTGACCACCCTGGAACTAAGGGCTTGAAAGATTCAACATAGGTAAAAGGACTCTGGAGGTGACAGATCTTCAGGGGAGAAAGGGAAAAAAGGAGTGCCACGGTGCCAAGACAGGTAACTAAAGAAGCCATCTTAAATCTAGGCCAAGTTTGCCTTAGGATGACTCCAGTATTGACTCTTTCTGACCAAAGCTACCTAAGAGACACTAAGTGAAAACCATCTGAGTCTAGGCAAGCCAAAGAAGCTTAAAAAACAGTAATAGATTGCTATTTTAAGCCCCACATCTTAACAGCGATTTTTGTTTGTTTATTGTTATTGGTTATTGGTTTGAAAAAATTTCTTGTATCCAAGGCTAGCCTTGATGACCTTGAAACATGGTCTCAGGTAGCCCAGAACGCCTTAAACTGGTTCTGTAGTTTGGCCTTGAATACCTGATCTCCCCTGGATTGCTTGCCTTCACTTCTAGAATGCTGGGATTGCAGGTGTGTGTCACCATGCCCAGTTGTTGAAGCCTGTGGCTTACTGCATGCTAGACTAGCCCTCTTCTTAAACCCTTGACTGAGCTTAATCTCAGACCAAGGGTGATTTGTGATGTCTCAGTGATTATGCAGAATGTGATCGATTTACAGAAATGTTCCTGACGGGGCTGGAGAAGCAGCTCAGTGGTTAAGGTGTAGCTCTGCTCTTGCAGAGGACCCAAACTCAGCTCTCAGCACCCATCTCAGGTGTCACAACCGCCTGCAATCCCAGCTTCTAGACACACACAAATACATATACACACAGTTTAAATTTTGAAAAGATTTAGCTTATAAATGCCCCATGCATATTTAAAAATAATTATCAACTGTAATATTAATGTTCTGTTATGTCAAGTAAGTCAAATTCATTAGGTTGTGTATTTAAGTCTGTATTCTTGATTACTTGGTTTGCTTTCATAAATTACTGAGAGGTTTTTTTAAATCTTTCACAGTGATTCTTTGACTACTCTCCTATTGAAGACTGAGGGCCTCTCACTGGCTAGGCAAGTATTCTACCACTGGGGCTACACCCCAAATCCCTAGGTCTATAATTTCTTTCATTCTGTTTCCTATTATTTCACTGTCAATATTTATGGTTTACTTATGTATCTAAGCTAACATAAAAAGTATTGAGTTTCATTGTGGAATTTTTGTACATATATATCTTATTCATCTTTCTAACCAACTACTTTCTCTTACCCCATCTGGTCCCTTTGCTGGTCCCTACCACCCCCCAGCTTGTTACCCTTCCGGTTTTCCACATGTATTCCACTATAACACCTATCTCTATCTGTCTCTATCTATCTATCTATCTATCTATCTATCTATCTATCTATCTATCTATCTCATTGCTCCTCCATCTCTAAGATCTCTTCTTTCCCTTATAGTCCTCTACTTTTATAAACACACACACAAAATTCAGACCCAGAGTTTGAATATGAGAAAAAAATGCAGTATTTGAGTCTGACTTATTTCACTTTAATGATCCCTAGTTATATCCATTTCCTGAAAATGTCATATTTCCTTTTTATGTCTGAATATGTACCGCATTTTATCTTTTTGACAGGTAATGAGCATTGACGATGATTCTGTTTGTTAGTGCAACAATAAACATGAATGTGTGCTGTGGGACAATGGTTTTACCCTGTAAAGATTTGTTTCTTGTACTTATTTAATAAAATGCTGATTGGCCAGGAGCCAGGCAGGAAGTATAGGTGGGGCAAGGAGAACAGGAGAATTCTGGGAAGAGAAAGAGTGAGTCTGTAGTCAACACAGAGAAACCCAGACACAGAGGAAGCAAGATGAGAATGCCTCGCTGAAAAAGGTACCAAGCCATGTGGCTAACACAGACAAGAATTATGGACTAATATAAGTTATAAGTGTTAATAAGAAGCCTGAGCTAATAGGCCAACCAGTTTATGATTAATGAAGACCTCTGTGTGTTTCTTTGGGATGGGATCAGGCAGGACAGAAACCTCTGTCAACAAATGTGTGAAGCTTGAGAGGTGGCATAAGCTCAGTTTTGAGCATCTATGTCAGGAGGCTCAAACCTGACTGTAACTTCAGCTCCAGGAGATCCGATGTCCTCTTCTGGACTGTGAAGGTACCTGCATAGACTAGACACACACACACACACACACACACACACAAACACACACACACAATTGTTCCTTTAGTTTAATTAAAAAAAAAGAAAACAAACTGTTAACAAAACTAATGGCAACAGAAAGACCTGAAGTGCAAGTACTTCTATGGTATATTGACTTAAAGTCCTTCAGCTAAAACCCAAGAATGGTACAGCTGGGTCATAGTTCTTTTTTCAATTTTTTGAAGAACCTCCATGTTGATTGCTACATTGGTTACACTAGTTCATCTCAGCACCAGGACTGGCAGAGTTGAAGCAGCAGGGACAGCTGGGTGACCCCATGGAATCTCACATGGTAAAGAGAATGAGGAGGGCGACCATCCAACAGAAGAGCCCCACAGCTCTTGGCAGGGCAAAACCCAGATGGCGTAGAAAAGTTGCTGCTCCATAGATGGGTTCCTGGCATAGCCAATATAAAGCTGCCAAATCATGCCAAATACCGTTTCAGTGTAGGTCCCTGCCCTCATCACACCAACTGTGGTGGTGGCCCCAGTACTAACTGCTGCTATATCAGCGTTTTGGGATACAACTCTGGTCTGGGATTCCCATCTGGCCATCTGGAGAGGGGAGCTGCTGCAGGTAAGCTGTTAGAAGAGGCCTCTGGTCTTCTCAGGAGGGAAGCAGAACTGGAGAAGCGAGTAGCCTTGGCACTCCTCATCGTTCCCACCCACCAGCTTTAGCCCTTGTCTCTGGGGATTAATTTTGTCTGGTAAAATCTTGGTCTGATCGTTCCTCCCTTTAGGAACAGAAATGCTTACTTTGTGCCTCTGTCTGATGGAAGGATATAACTTCTTTTATTTTATACAAACCTACAGCTAAGAGACTAGAATTTTAAAGTACTGGAATTGATGAAAACTATGGGGACTTTAAAGTTGGACTATATACATTTTATGTTTAAACATGGTCATGAGACTGTGTGGACAAGGAATGGAGGGTATGGCTTAAAGGTGATGTTTGGGTGTCTCACTGACAAGGGAAAGAGCTGTGAGTGTTACCTGTCAACTTGACAGGTTCTAGAATCACCTGGGAGTATTTTATACCAGCAACATAAAAAGAAACTATGACATGTGTCATTTTATTTCTTCATATTTCTAAGTCCTGCAAAACTTAAGGTGTCAACTGATTTTATTGTTCCTGGAAGCATTCCAAGAACATATTATTATATTTGCATTATCTATCTAAAATATAATAATCTTGTTTGAGAAACAAATGTTGGAGATTTTTATTTACTGTGTACATGTTGGATAAACACTGAATACTCTTACAATAATCCAATGTAAACAACTTAGTGTAAACTTACGTAACACTCTTAATAATTAATTTTCAGTCTACAGATAGTGTTAGATTCTATGTAAAACCTAATCAATTGAATGTGACTAAGATAAAGTGTTCAGGAAGAGGTAATATTTAATGTTTCAGAAAAAGATAATTAATAGGTTTTTTTTTCATTTACAAGTTCAGAAGGGCTTAACTAAAGACACAAAAACAAATAAGGAAAAAGTACACAGATAAAAATACAATTCTCAAATGTTGAGGCTGAGTTAGAATTTTATGCTATTAAATTTGAGTTGTAAAGAAAGGGTAGAAGGCTCACACACATCCAAATAATATGCACAAAAAGAAAAAGGATACATTTTCTTTAGATAATTCTTTTTTTTTTTTTTTTGGTCTTTCGAGACAGGGTTTCTCTGCGGTTTTGGAGCCTGTCCTGGAACTAGCTCTTGTAGACCAGGCTGGTCTCGAACGCACAGAGATCCGCCTGCCTCTGCCTCCTGAGTGCTGGGATTAAAGGCGTGCGCCACCACGGCCTTCTTTAGATAATTCTATAGCTGCTATATGTTCCAGAAGGACAAACAGGTTTAACAAGATAACTTCAAAAATAATCCCATTTATGTCTTCATAAAGTAATAGGCCACCAAACTCTGTGTTAGAAGTGTTTCTGTGTTCCTGTGGTACTGGAACTGAACCCAGGACCTTGTACAAGCATGGCAAGTGCTGTACCACCAAGCTTTGTAACTGGCCTTTCCTAACATTTTATTTTGAGATAGGGTCTTCCTAAGTTGCTCAGGCTGGTTTGAGCTTTCTCTCCTTATGCTCCAGTCATCCAAGCACCTGGGATTACAGGTTAGCAAAACTGCCTTCTTGAGATTGCCAAATCTCTAGGTTCATTTAAAAGGCAGAAAAGCCAAGTCCAGTGACACACACCTACAGTTTCAGCTTATTTATAATGTTGAGGCAGGAGCATTACTGAGGCCCAGAAGTTAGAGGCCAGCCTGGGTAACACAATGAGACCTTGTCTCAAAAGGGGTATAGAATATTAACACAGAGGTTCCAGCATAATCATATAAGAAAGTATAAATACGAGTCCAGAAAATCAGGAAAGTCACATTCCAGCTTGAGCTGGGCCTCATTTAGTCACTCCGGCAGGATATCCTCTCAAGTTTTCATTTCCTTATAAGGCACAGTATTAGGCTCATGTTCTACTATGGGGACTATGACAGAAACAAACGTTTACAGTTCAAGTATAGCATCCTAACTTTTTAAGTCAAAATAATGACCAGAATCATAAAGGTTGGCATTTCAGTACTGAACCTAGAAAAAATACAATGCAATACTAAAGTCAAAATCAAAAGCACATTTGACAGAGATCTTCTAAGTATATGTTTGGATGACAATAATTCCATAATAATTGTGCACTTGCCATTTGTGACTATGTCAAAAGGGAGAACCAAAATGATTCTGAGTTTTCTCATGACACATGTTGAGAAAGAAAATAATTCTTTTTCCATTCTCATTTAAATTATAAGCATGTCATAATGTCTTATAAAAAATAAATGTAAGTAAAATTTAACTTAGTTTCCTCCTTAATTTGTTTTTTATAGCAGACATATTAATTTCATTTTGAACATGATATGCCAAATATCCCGAGCTTCCTGGAATGAAGTCATGTAATTCTCCAAGGAATTTCTCCAAGGCATCAATTGATATATAACCTATAAAAACAAGAAGAAATAGATACATTTGAAATTCTACCATGCTATTTTATTTTCATTTTTTTAAATATTTATTTATTATGTATACAATATTCTGTCTGTGTGTATGCCTGCAGGCCAGAAGAGGGTACCAGACCGCATAGAGATGGTTGTGAGCCACCATGTGGTTGCTGGGAATTGAACTCAGGACCTTTGGAAGAGCAGGCAATGCTCTTAACCTCTGAGCCATCTCTCCAGCCCCCGCTATTTTATTTTCAGTGTCTTTGATTTATTAGTTAAAATTTTTATAGAACATTTTTAAAGAACTAAAAAGAAAAATAATACTGGTGAGAAGATTCTCAAAGGATGACCTTAGGCCTCTGCTCTTTCTGCTCCCCCAACCCAGGGCTGAGACTGCAGATCCATCCACCGCACTTCGTTATGTAGGACTGGAGACCAAACCCAGAGTCTGTACATGCCAGGCAAGCACTCTATAGCTAAGCTATAGCCCCAGCCCTTAACACTGGTTTCTTTTTACGCCTTAGTTTACAAAATAATGAGTTTTATTATGACATTTTCACTAAAACACATTATTGTACTTTGCTCATATTTGTCTCCTCTCTTCTGCCCATCTCCCCTTCTCACTGTCCTAGTTTTGTTTGTTTGTTTGTTTGTTTGAGACGGGGTTCACACTTTAACCTAGGTTAGACTGGAAAGCACTTGTAGACGAGGCTGGCCTTGAGCTTTCAGCAATCCTCTGCTTCAACTCCTAAATTCGCACACTATTGGTGTAAACCAACACACTTAATTATTCCTTCCACTTCTGAAAAGCATAGATACTTGATAAGCAACTTCGACTACTGAGAGTGCAATGTCCATACTGGGGCTGGAACATTAAAGTACAGAAACGGGAATGACAAGGAATAACCGGCCTAGATTGTAACCACTGAAAACTGTCTCTCCAGGTACCCAACAGCACAGACAGCGCATCTGCTCTACAGAGCAGACATTTCCAAGCACTGTAAGACTGGGATAAAGTTCTCTAGTGAAAAATTAATAGCAAAGTCAGTCCTGCTGCCAATCAATACAAGATATGGCTGTAATGTTGATATAATTAATAATCTGAAATATATATGAATGCCAAAAAATACCCTGCCTAACGGCAGAGATATTAAGATCTTAATATTCAAAGATCTTAAGCAGTAACTTGATAACAATTATTTATCATTTGAATGATTATATTTTACATGTAATACAAATGTTTGTGGTTTATACTAATACTAAAAGCAAACATTCTAAAAATTCTAGAATATCCCAAGTATGACTGAATTTAAAAGTACCATAAAAAACAATAGAGTTTATACATATAGCTTGATGGTTTTAGTAATAAAGTCCACTCATAGTTTAAAATTATGAATCCAGCCATAGAAAATTAGTATCACTAATCTATTTCAGTCATTAGATATCTATTTCCTTAGCTCTTTTTGAACATTACTGAGACATCCCATGTGTATCCATGACCTCTGCCTGATGGATAAGTACTTGTGTAACCAGTGGAGAGAATGCTTATTGCACAGACACTATGTGGGGTTTCTAAATGCTAAGTGCACACATGTGTAGAGGGCACCAAGGCCTTGTACTCACAGAGAAGTGCTAAGAGAAGCAAGACAGTTAATCACACAAGGGTGTCTCCTCAATGGAGGAGATGAAACTGAACACCCTGCATTCCACCCAGAAAGCTAAAAGTGGAAGTTGCTAACAACCTGGTGGCCCCTTTGCTATCTGAAGAGACAGACCTTACCCTAATTTTCCAGACTCTTTCCTCCCTAAACTATTACCCATCCTTAGGGGAGATGTCACATGTATTTCTTGTACTGCTGATCCCTATACTATCAGTCAGAGACCACATTAGCTATGGAACCCACCCTCAAGGTCACAGGTACTTTGTAAAAGAGTTGCTATGTAATCATACATTAATCTTTATTGTGCACCTGGAATTAGAATTATGGGAATCATTGTTGCCTGGAGACTCTTTTTCAAATTCTATTGTGTTTAAATATGCCTAAACTAAAGTGCCTGGTATTAGACTCCCCTAAGTCTGACTCACGTTGATGGAGTCAATCTGCACAGGTTTTCATTTCATCTCTGTGCAGTCTGCTCCCTGCCTGTATACTTGCAGGGACCTCCTTACACAGCACTACTCAAGATTTCTAAACACACTGGGGAAAAAATACAAAATTAAGTCACGCACGCCTTTAATCCCAGCACTTGGGAGGTAAAGGCAGGCAGATTTCTCTGAGTTCAAGGCTAGCCTGGTCTACAGAGCAAGTTCCAAGACAGGCTTCAATGTGAAACCTTTCATTAGAAGAACTGTTAACACCATAAACATACAGACAGACAGTAGAATGGTGGGGGCTTTGAGCAGAGCTCAATCTTCCAAGGCAAAATGGAGGTCACTTCTTCTAGGTCTCAGAGGAAAGGGGAGGTTTTGTGTTATGTGGCAATTAGTCCACAGAAAGCTCAGCTGCCTCTGGCTCCACAGTAAAGCCTGATCCTAGTCATGTAAAAGGCCCTGAGTTCAACCTCCAGCACTACAAAAACAAAAACAAAAGAGCTAATCCCTGAATGTCAGAAATAAACTGCAACTGTCTCACGCAAGCAAGAGCAAGCATCCCTCCTGTCTAGGGACAGAAAATATGAAGCCCATGCTTGGTCCATTCTGCAAGTTAATTCTTTAGAAGATGAACGGCACCCTCTTATCACCATGGTAAAAGCAAAGGCTCTGCTTGGTAACAGCTTTGTTCTCCCTCATTTCCTCCCTAGCTGGGCTGCTCTAATTTTCACCTCCGTTTACCTGTTACCATGTTGTTCACCGGGTAACTCCAAAGAGGGAAGTACATCTGCTTTTCTACAACTGGAGTGCTTATAAGATGACTCTCCGCACTATAAAAAATGGAACATACAGAAAGTCACATTTGTATTTGAATTTTTAATTTATATTACAAATTAAGATTCATTCCAGACCATGTATATAGTAATTTAACACTTCTTTAATCAGGTTTTACTTTTACTTGGTGAAAATGTTAATTGTAAGCTTTCTTTTGTGATACTAAGAAAGACCATATACCTACTTTTGGTTTTCTTAGTTACTTCACAAATCAAACAATTTTTGAATAGAGGCCTTGGTCATCTCAATATCCCCCAAAGCACAGTAATAATTTATAATTATATAACACAGGGCTGGGGTTATATCTCAGTGGTAGGGCTGTTTCCTAGCATACATGAGACTGGGTTCAATCCCTAGCACTGTCAAAAAATGTAAAGTAATATATTATATACACCATAATTAATCATATTTGTACACACATGTGAAATCTTATGTATGCCAAAAGAAAAGCACAGTAGACTCTATAAATAGTCATAGTCTTTTGTTATTCAGTATTTAAATTATCCACACTTCAGCATAACAAAAAGAAACGAGGTCAGGGAAACCATGAAATACAATGAGATTTTTAAGTAACTTAAATAAATAAGGTTTACCTTAGATCATGGGCCTGCTTATTTAAGACCTGATGTCTCCTCTATAGTCTGTCCTCTGAGGCAAAGACTTGAGCAAACAACTCTAAAGCCTACTTCTAAACTCTGTATTATTGCACAAGCCTATCTGCACAATCCTGGCTGTCCTGGAACTCACTCTGTAGACCAGGCTGGCATTGAACTCACAGAGATCTGCCTGTCTCTGCCTCCCAAGTGCTGGGATTAGAGGCATGTGTCACCACTGGCCATGTGGTAGTTTGAATGTAATCGGCACCCATAAGCTCATAGAGAGCTACACTATTAGAAGGTGTTGCTTTGTTGGAGTGGGTATGGCCTTGTTGGAGGAATTGTGCCACTGTGGGGACAGGCTTTGAGATTTCCTATGTGCAGGAAACCACCTAGTTGACTTCCTTTTGCCTGAAAGTAAGATGCAGCCAACACTATGTCTGCCTGCACACCACCATGCTCCCCACCATAATGATAATAGACTGAAGCTCTGAAACTATTCATGGTGTCTCTTCACAGCAATGAAAACCCTAACTAACACAGCCCAGCATGACTTGCCTGGTCCCCTTTGTTGTATCAAGTAAGATGGAGCCATGGAGCAAACAACTCTAAAGCCCACTTCTAAAGAAATTGGCTCTGAGCTCTGAACAGCCTACCTACCCCTTCAAGTAAAAGATTTCTGACTTTTTCTCTCTCAGTCTTTTGCTCATCCCCTCCTGTCCCATGTTGTCAGCAACATCCACCTCTTACTTACTTGAAGCTCCTCCAAGGTTTAAGATTCTGTTAAGTAATCTCTGATAAATGCTCTAGCCTCCTTCATTGCTCTCCCACCTCAGGTCGCCACCATGCGGCCTCTAGTGTGATTTACTGTCTCTCATAACGCTTTCCTATCTCAAGCCAATCATGCCTCATCATAATTGTGAGGCTCTCCCTCCTAATAAAGCTCATTGATGCAGGGCAATTTCCAGTCTACTCCTTTCCTGAGTTTATGACTTTGGTTTCTAACAGTTTAATCCTAACACTAAATTATAACATCAAATAAGGTTTTCAACCTTAGGGGAAAGTGTTGATAAAATATTACATGCAAAGTCAAGGGACCTCAAGATGACCTCAGTTCTTTACGAATTGTGTCTTACTGTAAGAGAAAAGAGACATATACTACTGAGTGGTAGAATTATTTCTGATTTAAATTTCCTTTATTATTTTCTATATGTCTTATTTTCACAAATTAAATGGATTTCTACATTTTTTTAATTTTGGCATTTTTGAAATAGGGTCTCATAAAGCCCAGGTTAGCCTCAAACTTGCTATGTAGCTGAGGATAACCTTGAACCTCTAATCCTGTCTTCACCTCCAGGGTGCTGTGATTACAGGCACAGGTCAGTACATCTGGCTTATGCAGTGCTAGGGATCACACCCAGAGCAGGCACATCCATGCATACTAGGTAACTACTCCAACAACTAAGTTGCATCCCCAGCCTATTACATTTATTTTAAAATAAAACAACAACAAAAAGTTAAAATGTACATGGCTTTAAAAATTGAGGAATATTTGGAGAAAGAAAAATAGCACAATGGTTAAAAGTTTAGACTCCGCATGATTTCAAATACAGCAATTCTTTCTGAATAAAACTGAAAAAAAATACTTAGCTGTACAGAGATCTGTTTCCTCAATTGTAAAATGAATGCGACTGATTGCATATCTAAGTTGTGAGAATCAAATGAAGTAATGTGAACTGCTTGTCTCACAAATATTTATCAATGTTAAATAGCATGCCATTTAGTATTGGTTGCTATCACTTACACGTATTTCAGGGTATATTTTATTTATGTTCATATTCTGCCATCTGGTGGTTCCACAAAAAAAGGCTCTACAGATGTAGTAGAATTCTTCAGCATAACATGATACGGTTGCTGAACACATGAACTCACAGTGATTATGACAACATGCATAGGATTATACAAGATCAAGTCAGCCAAAATTCCAGCACAAGTAGAGGAAGGAGCTCATGGAGCCCCAACCCTAGCTGAGAAGTTGTTGGCTACAAGAGGAAGAATCAGTTTTCTACTGGGATGCAGCCCCAGGAAGGCTGCCCATGCTCCATTAGATGGTCCAGTAGCCATGCACATAGAGGCAGCACTAAGTAGATCCAGGTTTTTAAAGCAAGAGAGAAGCACCAGGTATGGTGGTGTACACCTCTAATCTCAGCACTCAGGAGAGAGGCAGATCTCTGTGAGTTTGAAGACAACCTGGTCTAAAGAGCAAGTTCCAGAACAGCCACAATTACAATACATGAAATTGAGGGAGATAGGGGAGTTAAGGAGAGGGGGTAGGGATGTATTTGATTAAAATTCATTATATGCATTATAAAATTCCCAATAAAAAAGGAAAATAGAAAAATAAAAGGCAAATTGGGCAGTAGTGGTGTACATCTTTAATTTCAGCACTTGGAAAGCAGAGACAGGTGGATCTCTGAGTACAAGGCCAGCCTGGTCTACAGAGTGACCAGAGCAGCCAAGGTTACACAGAAACAGTGAAACCCGTCTTGAAAAATACATAAAGAAAAAAGGAAGAAACCTGGAGTATATTCACATAATTGGTGTTTTTTAAAAATGTAACAGTCTTCCTATGCACCCATAGCCCAGATTAGCCTGGCACCCATCTTAACCCCAAGAGTATACCTAAAAAGTACCATGCCTGGCATTTTGTAATGTATGTAGGCATATGTGTGCAAGTGTTGGTGTAAGTGCACATATAATATGACCATGTATGTGGGAGGCCAGAAGTTGATGTTAGGTGACTTCATCAATAGTTCATCACCTTATTTTGTTATGTATTTGTTTTTGTTTATGTGCATGAGTGTCTTGCCTGTATATGCACCATATGCATGCCTGGTGCTCTCAGAGGTCAGAAGAGAATGTTGGATCCCCTGGAACCAGAGTAACTGATAGTCATGAGCCACCATGTGGGTGCTGGAATTAAGCCCAGATACTCTGTAAGAGCAACAAGTGCTCTTAACCACTGAACTATCTCTCAAGCCTCACATTTACTTTTTTTTTAATAAAAGTTCATAAGACTTTGGACAAATTAATCTTTTTAATCTTAGATCTCTTTCTCTAAAATGAGAATGGTGATGATGATAATCTCAATCTCAGAGGAATTGTGAAACTAAAATAAATATACAATCAAGCTCAAAGATTTCTACATTCAATTTGAGTAGCAATGAAGCATATTAACTCAATACCTTTCTTTTTTGTGTTCTGTTGTTGGCTCACTGCTTTCCCTTTTATTTGATGTTATTCTGCCATGCTGTAAACAGCAAAATAAATCACATTTTAAAAATTTGGCACACTAATTATCTAATTATTAACTTTAAAATTAAAATATAATCAAAGGCTATTTAAATTTATTCTTTTAGTTCAGTCATTGTAACCTGGCAGGGAAGCTTAAAAATTCTGTATATATATTCACATAATCATGCTTTTAGAAGAGCATAAAGAAGGATAACCAGGATTTTAAATGCTAGCTATAGTTATAGCAGGTAACTGAACTTGGTTTGAGGGAAGAGGAAGAACACAGGAAGGAAGGAAGGAAGGAAGGAAGGAAGGAAGGAAGGAAGGAAGGAAGGAAGGGAGGGAGGGAGGGAGGGAGGGAGGGAGGGAGGGAGGGAGGGAAGGAGAAAATCAAACATTACAGACTTAAGACTTTCTTAAAATTCTTGACTTCAGGATTCTCCTTCTTACAAATCAAAAAAGAAAAAGCTAAACAAATTGTTCCCTCTTTAAAGTGATCGTGATGGAGATATGTTCACTTCTGAAGTTGTAACAAAACTAAAAGTATATTAAGCTTTTCCAAAACATTTGTAGAAATGACTCAGATGTCTATACCTAATGTATTTAACAGAATATTGCTAAAAATTCCATATTTAGATAATAAATCTTCCCTAAGTAATAATGTTCCAAATTACTTTCCAGATTTATCTTTGTTATTTTCATTTGATAACTTTCTACATATAGATTATGTGATTATAGTATTATAATTAGCTGATATTCAACACTGATAAGTACTTTGAAGGAATTGACAAGATCCTTTATCAAATAATGTCTAGCCAATAATCAATAAAAATATGTTATATTAATATTTTTAATATTTATCTGTTTGTCTGTGTGCCTGTGTAAATGTACGCCACATGCAGGCAAGTGTCCACAGAAGCCAGCAGAGCTTACTATAGGCCCTGGAGCTAGAGTTACAGGCAGTAGTGAGGCACCTGGAGCAGGTGCTAGGCTTCACTGGTGAACTGAATTCTGGTCCTCCGGAAGAGTAGGAAGCGCTCACTCTTCACCTGAGCCAGCCCTCCAGCCTTATACCAACTTTTTAACAGAAGTGACATTAGATTAGGTTGAGGCTAAGAAAACTTGGTTTCATTATGCTAATATGTGATTACATGTTCTAAAACAGATTTTTTTAATCTTCTGTTTATGTCAGGATTTTTATTTATAAAACTAAATGATCTTTAAGTTTCTTTTAAGTCCCATAGTACTGGTAGACTGAAAACTTTAACAAATAATTTTTAAAAATCATGATCATTTGTGTAGAAACATTGACAAATCAGAGATTAGATATTTTCAGAATTTATCATCTCCAAACCAAAGATCCTGAAGAGACTATGATTTCCAAATGATAACACTCTGAGAAATAAAAGCAAATTAGTGGGGCCGGTGAGATGGCTCAGCAAACAAAAGTGCTTGCTGAAAATCCTGATAACCTGAGTTTGATTTCCAGAGCCCACAGGATAAACGGACAGGACTAGCTTCCCCAAGTTGTCCTCTGACTTCCACATGTATATTGTGGCATGTGCCACACAAAGAAGTAAATAAAAATTTTAATTAATGAAAGGAATACGAAACCTATAAATTAATTACTTGGCTGTGGAAACATAGATTTTTCTATTTTTCTCAATCTAAAAAATTATCCTTAAAAATAGTACAGAAATACTATATACCTTGCACTTAAAGAAATACTTTTGTTACCTCTTTTTTAGTTTTGTGAGAACATTTGAAAACAACATTTCTGCCTGGCAGTGGTGGTGAAAGCCTTTAATCCCAGCACTCTGGGAGGCAGAGGCAGGCGGGTCTCTGTGAGTTCAAGGCCAGCCTGGTCTACAAGAGCTAGTTCCAGGACAGGAACAAAAAGCTACGGAGAAACCCTGTCTCAAAAATAAAAAAAAAAAAAAGAAAACAACATTTCTTTTTGGGGGGTAGGGGGTTTCTCTGTGTAGCTTTGGAATCTGTCCTGGCACTAGCTCTTGTAGACCAGGCTGGCCTTGAACTCACAGAGACCCGCCTGCCTCTGCCTCTCAAGTGTGCCACTACTGGCTGGCTGAAACATAACATTCCTATTCTTAAGATCTAGCAAGAATTTTCTCAAAAATTTATTTTTATCTTTATACCCCTGGCATACTTAAGAAAATTTAACAAATCATTATTATTTAATATTCCACGAATCAGCTTTTCCAGTTGCTCTCAAAATGCCTTTTTTCTGGGCTGAAACTCACAGATCTCTGATTGCCTCTGCCTCCAAGTGCTAGGATTAAAGACCAGTGCCACCATGCTTTTTATATTAAAGAAATGTTTCTTTTATATTAAAAACATCTATATATAGGATCTGATCATCACATTTGGTTGTTGTCTCAATTTAGAACGTTTTCTTGCTTTTATTGTGACAGTCACTATAGAGGTCAGGCCAGTTGACTGACTTGAGACATAGTCATTTCCTGGAGTCATGTGAATAACTCATAATTTGATCTTGGGAAGCTTTTGAATAAGAACTCAGCAAAGATAATACTGTGTACTTACTATATCACAACAGACTAAGCCAAATGAGTGATTATTCCAGTATTAGTGATACCAGTTTGATCATTTGGCTAAAGTGGTATCTTCTAGTATATCCATTTGCAGATATTGCTTGTCTTTGTAATTAGTACAATCTGTGGGTGATAATTTGGGATCATAATTTTAAAATCAATTAATGGCTCTTGTCTAAATCAATTATTATATTGGCGGTTACAGAATGCATATTTTTTAGTGTGTGTGTGTGTGTGTGTGTGTATATGTGTGTGTGTGTGTGTATGTGTGTGCTGGGGACAAGGCACCCAAGAAGAGCACATGGTGCTCTGAGAACTTGCTGGAGCTGGTTCTCTCCTTCCACTATGGAACCTGCCCAGGCCATCAAGTTTATGCAGCAAGCTCTTTGACTAACGGAGCCATCTTGCTGGCTCAAGGAAGAATTTTCTACTTTATCATCCTTTTTTCTTTATTAGTTGCTATTCCTATAATGAAAAGTTTTACTTCCCACCTTTTTCTTCTTTCTTATCTTCCTGTCTTTTTTTCTTTCTGCTTTTGGATTATCACTATGAACTAGCTGATGCCTTTTTATATAATGTGTGATTATCTGTCTTCTTTTCATGCTGAAATTATCTATATTTGGCTACTGCATAAAGATTTTGAAGTAAAAAACAGACAGATTTGAGTAGAATGGCAAAAACTAAAAAGCAATATTGCATATATTTATTAAGGAACAGTCCTTGAAACAAACAAGTGATACTGCGCAAGAATTCACCTGAATCTCCACCAGCAAATACCATGTACCTGTTGTTACTCTATACTCCTGACTACAGAAACCAAAGTTTCTTGTTTATTTTCCAGTACTAGAAACTGAAGCAAAGGCCTCGTATGCTAAGGAGGCAGTCTACTACAGTGTTCTAACCCAACCCTCAACTTTCTGTTCTTCTTTTTCTATTTTATTTTTTAACAGGTTTATTTTTTGACAGGTTTTCTTTTTTTTTTTTTTTCCATTGACAGGTTTTCTTAAACTTTTGATCCTCCTGTCCCTACCTCCCAAATGTTAGCATTACAAGCGTATGCCACCATGTCTGGTTTTTATGCTGGCTGAGGACTGAATCCAGGGTTTCTTGGATGCTAAGCCTGCACCTGAGTTTCTTATAAGAATGGTTTAATTTATACCAAATACTTCAGTTTTACTGTTGTATTATGTAAAAACTATGTCAAACCAGATAGTATTCAATAATAGCATACTCTTAAAATTTCTTACTCTGGATCATTGATGCATATGTCACAAATTTTAATGCTTTCAAATTTTTGAAACTGTACATCCCAACCAAGTATTTTAATTCCCTCTTACCTTTTGTATTGGAAAATTTTCATCTTGTTCCCAAATAAAACTACCAATTTTTCTTCGTATTTCTGTAGTGAGAAAAACAAGTTCAATATTTTTAAAAGTAATTTCTGGATTTTGCATAACATTTGAAACTTGTAGATTGTTTATTCTACTTGAATAAAAATAACCTCTTTTTTTGATTCTACTTGATTCAAAATAACCACATGCCTGCTGAAAAGCCTAGGAGTCAGGTGGTGGTGGCACACGCCTTTAATTCCAGCACTTGGGAGGCAGAGGCAGGCAGATCTTTCTGAGTTCGAGGCCAGCCTGGTCTACATAGAGCTAGTGCCAGGATAGGCTTCAAAGCTACAGAGAAACCCTGTCTCAAAAAAAAAAACTGATAATAAAAGCATAAAAAGAGAAGAAGGAGGAGGAGGAAGAAGAAGGAGAAGAAAAGCCTAGGAATATCCATGCAGTGGTGGCACATGCCTTTAATCCCAGCACTCTGGAAGCAGAGGCAGGCAGATCTCTGTGAGTTTGAGGCCAGCCTGGTCTACAGAGAGTTCCAGGATAGGCCCCAAAAGCTACAAAGAGAAACCCTGACTCAAAAGGAAAATAATTTGCAATCCACTTTCCAGCTGATTCCAGTATATTATGATAATCATTATGGTAAACTTTTTTCTTGGGATGCAGTATGCATGCATGTTTGTTGTGTAAGTATGTATGTGGTTGCACACACATGAATATGATTCTGTATACCTGTGTATAACATGCAGAGGCCAGAGGACAGCATTGAGTATTTTCCTCTGCCTTATTGCCTTCAGACAGGGTCTTTCACTGAACTAGAAGCTCACTGGTTCAGCTAGACTGGCTGGCCAGCAAGCTCCTGGGATCTCTCTGTCCCCATCCCCCAACAGCTGGTGTTAAAGGCACTCATGGCCATGTCTATACGTGTGGAGGTTAGGAATTCAAATTCAGGTCCTTATGCTGGGCAAATTCTCTTACTCACTGAGTCACTTCCCTGCCCTTACTTTTTCTACTAGTATATATTACTTCATTAGATATGTGTCTCTGTTATGCCAAATATTAATAAATAAGACAATTGTCACAATAAAATGCCTAAAGTTGTTAAGTGTATAGAGTTGAGGTTCTCAAGAATAAATTTATTTTTCTAAAAAGTAGATAAACAATGTCTAGTAAAAAAGGAATTCTATAAATTTAAGTATATCTGGTGACTTTTACCATCTTAATAATCTCAAAATTCTCTACAACAACCCACTAGAAGACAAAAAGGGTCTAATTACACTAGACTTTTGCTGACCAATATGGCAGCAATGGTAAATGTATGTTGAGTCATATTGAGGTATGGTGTAAGTGTAAAATCAGCACTGGATGTTTAATATTTGGTATCAGAAAGAATATAAAATATTTTAAAAATTTCATGTTGATTATTGAAATGATAATCTTTTCAATATTAGGTTAAATAAAAATATTTTAAGATTAATTTTGCCTATATATTTTTAATATGACTACTAAACGTTTTAAACTCATAGTTCACAATGGCATCTTACACATATATCTACTGCTCTAACTAGGTATGTACAATATCCTGGTTTGAATGAGAATGGCCCCCACAGACTTATGCTTGAATGTTTGGTCCCCAGATGGTGGAACTGTTTGAATCCTCATGGGAGAAAGTATGTTACTGGTGAAACTGTTTAGAAAGGATCTTCATTGGAAAAGCATGTTACTGGCAATGGATCTGAGGCTTCAAGGGACTGTGCAATTCCCGGTGGTCTCTAATTCCTGTTTGTGGATCCAGATGTGAGCTCAGCTGCTACCTGCTGTCATGCTCCCCGCTATGATGGTCATGGTCTCCTTGCCCTTTGAACTGTGAGCCCCAAATAAACGCTTCCTTCGATAAGCTGCCTTGGTCATGGTGTTTTATCACAGTATGGAAAAGTGACTAAGACAGTAGTAGTATACCTTTTTTTTAAAGAAGTATGTTTCCATTTCAAACATTTTTTAAAGATTTAAATATATGTTAGTAGAAGAGGCTAAACTCAAAGGTAAAATAGAAGTTATAATTTAAAATAAGGTTAATAAATTGGATACTCATTCTATAATACAAACTCCTTGAAGGTAGGTTTGTGGCACACGTGGTTTTTAAAGATGAGGCCAAGCAGGGCTACATAGCAAAAACTTGTCTCAGAATTTTTGAAAAGTTGCTGGACATGATGGTACATCTCTATAACTTGGCACTCAGGAGGCTGAGGCAGGAGGATGGCCATGAATTTGAAACTAGCCTGGGTTACAAAATTAGTACCAGTTCAGTCAGAGTGACATAACAGAGCCACTCTCAAGAACAAAAAAGAGATAGGAAGGACAAGAGAGATAGAGATAAAGTTATTTTAACAAATCTATTTTGCCATAAATCATTAGTTTATTTGCATAACCACTTAGACTTAAGTGTTATAACTAGGTTGTGCTGAACACTAGTTACAAGAAGCCAATCTTTGCAGTTTCTAAGGATTCTTCTAGGAAAATAACTGAGTTTTTGGTTTGCTCTGCTTTGTTTTTAATATTTTCCTCACTGGAAATCTATAAACAGCTTCAGTCTGTCTTTCTAGAAATGGACGTAGAACTATGAGATAAGCAAAATCTTCACCAGAACTGACTGGCTAGGGGATGGGGAGATGGCTCAGAGGTTAGCAACACTGTATGTTCTTCCAGAAAACCCTGGTTCCTAGGACCCACATGGAGGTTCACAACTGTTTAACTCCAATTCCTGGGGATCTGATGCCCTCTTCTGGCCAGCACAGGTACCAGGCACCACTGTGGTGCACTGACAGATAAGTTGGCAAAACACCCATATACAAAAAATAAAGAGATTTAAACAAGAAGTGGGTAATTAATGAAAAACCTACAAAAACGAGATGTGTGAGGTTAGGTAGACAACCTGGGTTAAGCTTCGGCAGACATGCTAAGAACATGCTCCAAGCAGGGAAAACTGAAAGCACCAATCTCAAAGGCAGCTCACTTACTTTTCCTTCTAACATCATATGGTTTTTGAGATAATGTAAAAGTACATAGTAATAATAAAATGAATTTACTATTATAAAAATTATTCAAGAAAAAATTAGAATGAAGAGAATCAACAGTAGCAAACAACACATTTATTAATACTCACCACATGTCATGTACTTTAACCTATTACCTCATTTTATCCTCAGAATCACTTGGAAGAAGTGAATGGATGTTTAGTTTTTTTTTTTTGGGTTTTTTTTTTTTGTTTGTTTGTTTTTTTGAGACAGGGTTTCTCTGTGGTTTTGGAGCCTGTCCTGGAACTAGCTCTGTAGACCAGGCTGGTCTCGAACTCACAGAGATCCGCCTGCCTCTGCCTCCCAAGTGCTGGGATTAAAGGCATGTGCCACCACCGCCCGGCTGAAGTCAATGGATGTCATATCACAAAACTGCTGGGCATGATGGTGCACAACTTTAGTCCCAGCACTTGGAGGGCAGGGACAGGTGGATCTGTGTGAGTCTGAGGCCAGCCTGGTTTATCTAGTGAGTTTGAGGCCAATCAGGACTACACAGTAAGATCCTGCTTCAAAACAAACACCAAAAAAGCAAATTAAGTATTGGATCCTAGCTGGTGAGCACTTGACTTTGGGGGTAATACCTGACTCTACCCTATTCACCACTGAATTCCAATTGAGAACAGAGATTGGTAAAATTAAATTTGGTTATCTTAATAGCGATTGGCAAGCAGATGGGTTTATGATCTTTGCTAACCTTTTTGCAGAGGCGCAGGAGGAAGAACAAAATGGCCCAAGGCCACTGAGTTTTTCCTTTCAGTATTAGCTACCGCAGAGAGATAGTAGGCATGAAAAACTGTAGCATTATCTTCTATGTACTCGGTGCTGTGGTACAGTCTAGAAGAAAGGAGATCTTCTAGGTTATGGCATAGACAGGAATGCATTCCCCCTTTCAAAAGAAAACCAAACGACTGCTAGGATCCTGCTAACACTAAAGAATACATTATGATGGTCTTTGTTTCCTGGCAAGAATGAATAAATTTCAGGTTCATTACTTAGCTTGGGGACCTAAGTGTAAGTAAATCTCAGCTTTAGAATTTACAAAAGACCACCTAAAACAGTAGTTAGCCATCAACAGTGGACTGAGAGCCAGCAGCCCACTGAGTTTTACTCATAGTCACTGCTATTATAAGAAACCAGTTCATTCTGAGGTAGAGTGGCCATGCAGTTTGAGAAGCCTTCCCATGCAGAAGACATGGGAGCAAAGAAAGAAAGACATTAGAAAAACTGACATACATGAAGGAGCAATAATGACACTTAAGGTTGACTAGACTACAAAAGGCATGGAAAATTAAAGAGCTTTTAGTTAATCTAAATCCACAGGCAGTGGGGTGAGGGCAGGCCAGGGAGGGGCAGGTCTCCTGTAAAGACGCGACAGCAGTGATGAAAGGAGATGGCAGAGCACGTGAAGGCAGAGTACTCTCTTAGGAAGCTCCCGTGACAGTCCTGGCAAGGGGGAATTCCAGTGCCTGTAAAAGCGGCAATGAGGAGGAAGTCTGGTTATGGTTACTGAAGCCTGTTCCTTGGTGTTAGAAGACAATTCATTCCTAGTAACAGAAGTTGGTTAAGATGCCTGAAATCCCGGCACTTGCAATGCCAAAACAGGAAGAGCATGAGTTTCAAGGCTAGCCTGGGCTACAGAGAAAATAGACACACACCCCCCAAAAAAAAACTAAAAAAGATGAGTAGGTTTTCGGCTTGAAGAATTCAGGATGGACTCTGGTGTTGAGGCGACATCTGGTTGACAAGCATGGAGTAGGGACCTACAAGTTTCCAGGTTGTTCTTTTTTAAAAAAAATGCTGCAAGATCCCCGCGGCAGTAGGCAGCAGAAATGCTGTAGGTCCCAAATGGTGGTGGGGGCCATATGGCGGCAGGCAGTGGGCTCTGGGAGCAGCCAGTCCCAGGCAGAGATGGCTGCCGGTCTCAGAGCAGTGGTGGCGGGCCATGTGGCGGCAGACAGCGGGCCCCAGGCAGAGAAGGCTGCTGGTCCCTGAGCAGTGGCTGGTCCCAGGCAGGGAGACACATGGCAGGCGGGCAGAAGACAGAAACATAGACACGACATACAGGGTGAGGTTGAAGTTTATTCAGGGGGTTATGGAGGAGGACGGGTGAAGACAGAGAGAGAGAGGGAGGGAGGGAGGGAGGGAGAGAGGGAGAGAGAGAGAGAGAGAGAGAGAGAGAGAGAGGGAGGGAGGGAGGGAGGGAGGGAGAGAGAGAGAGAGAGAGAGAGAGAGAGAGAGAGAGAGAGAGAGAGAGAGAGAGAGAGAGAGAGAGAGAGAAGGGGGGAAGCAGAGAAGTGGGGAGAGAGGCAGAAGCGAAGCTGCCTCTCTGAAAGGAAGATGGAAAAGAGAGCGAACTCAGGCCGGAAGCTGAAGATCAGCCTGCCTCAGCAGATGGGGGAGGGAGTGGGCGTGGCTTGTCTCTTAAAGGGACCAATACCATAACAAGGTGACAGCAGGACACTCAACACCAGGATTCCGTAGAGACCAGAGGGACAGGTAGAAGGAAGGAAAGGAGAATGGTATCCCTCGCACTGAGGGCTGCAAACTTGCTGTTCCCCAGTGCTGGTAACTGGATGCTACTCCCCTGCGCGGCTCTAGGCACACGATGACAGGAAAGGCTCTAGCCGGTGGCCCTGGGTACCTCAGCGTGTCCGGATGCGAGGCATCACAGCTGAACAGGAAGTCGGCGGCCTGGGCATCGCTGATTGCCCCGCCTTCGTCCACTGTGGAGGCAAGAGCACGTGTGAGCGCCGAGCAGGGCAAGCGCCCCCACCCCGGATGGGGGAGGAGGGCTTCCGGGGACACACGGGCGCCCACGCCCTGCCCCGCCATCTTCCTACCCCAGAACTGCCTCAAGTCCTGACTGACGCTGCGGCAGAACCAACCACGCTGCCCCTGGAACATGGCGCCGCCTGCCTCCGGGGCTGGGGGGGGGGGCTACAGCCGAGACCGCTGATTGGTCCGAAACCAAGCGTGATGATTGGTTCCCAAAAGAAAAGGACGGGAAAGGTCGCAGGAAGCGGGCAAAGAGGCGCGAGGCGCGAACTACCGTAATTGAGAGACTAGCCACGGAGGACGAAGTTCCCTGGACCTGGTGGGTTTTAAACACTGAGGTGTGTGTGTGTGTGTGTCTGTCTGTCTGTCTGTCTGTCTGTCTGTCTGTGTCTTGTGTCTGTCTGTGTGTCTGTCTGCGTCAGTGTGTCTGTGTCTGTTTTTGTGTCTGTGTGTGGTGTGTGTGTGTGTTTGTGTGTATGTATCTCTGTGTGTGTCTGTCTATCCCTCTGTGAGTCTGTGTGTTTGTGAGTCTGTGTGTGCGCGTGCGTGCACGTGTCTGTGTCTCAGGACAACTTTCAGAAGTCAGTTCTTTACTTCCACTGTGTGGGTTCCACGGCTTGAACTTGGGTGGCAAGGGCTTCCTATCAGCAAAGCCATCTTGCCACTCCCCTGTATTATATTTTTTATTGTTTTCAGACAGTCTCTTACAACTTAAGCTGGTCTTGAACTTCAACTGAATATGGCTTAGAATTTCTGGTTCTCCAGCCTCCACCTTCAGAGGGTTGTGATCACAGGCCTACATCACCATGTCTACATTAGATATTCTTGAGGAGAGAACTCAGTGAAAGGGACCCAGAGTCGGCACAGAACACACTCAGACACAAAATTCTAAGCCTATAGGGCCAGGCTATGACATTCCTCTTAAACTGAGTGCCACAGAATATTTGAGATGTTATTTCTTATTTCTTGCTCTGTTCAAATTAGTCTCAGATTTCAGTAGAACATTTTTAAAGTGGGTTATTTTAATTTTTTTGTTTGTTTTTTGGATGAGTCTCCATATGATTTACAGGCTAGCCTCAGACTTGTGATCCTATGCTTCAACACCCACATGTGAAGATTTACTTATGGCTTAGCTGCATTAAAATGAAATACTGGTCTTTTTGATCAAATATTTTGAAGTTTGTTAGCATTTTCTTCTATAATGAAACTATATAAACAGTGAGGTTATATCTTTAAAAAGAATGCTCTTAGGGGTTCTAGACTATAGTGTTCTGTATATATGTTTGTTGGGTCACATTACTCATATTGTCTAATTCTCTGTCAATAGGAAAACCATGTAAAAATCTTATGGATCTATCAATTCTTTTTTTTTTTTTTTTTGGTTTTTCGAGACAGGGTTTCTCTGTGGCTTTGGAGCCTGTCCTGGAACTAGCTCTTGTAGTCCAGGCTGGTCTCGAACTCACAGAGATCCGCCTGCCTCTGCCTCCGAGTGCTGGGATTAAAGGCGTGCGGCACCATCACCTGGCTGGATCTATCAATTCTTATATGTCTTAAATTTTTTTGTGTGTGCAGGCCTTGTACTGCACTACTTTTAATTAGACTCATGTAAACTCATACTTGTTATTTTCTGTTTATTTGAACCATTGAGCTCTTAAATATGCAAGGTAAAACCTCAAGATACATAGAACACGAGATAATATTTTTGGCCCCAGGCAAAGGATTTTTTTTTTAATTGAGACATAGTGTTAACCATGACCAAAAAATTGCATAAATTTGATTCCTTTAAAATTCTCTTCATCCAAGTCACCATAACTAGGGTGAATGTACACAGTACTGCAGGGGAAGGTACCTGCAGTGCAAATAATCAACAAAGGATTAGTATCCAGAATATATAAGTAACCCTATAAAACAATAAGAGAGGAATGGCCCAATTAGAAAATTCAGCAAACTTCTGAATAGACCTTCTATAAAAGACACACAAATGACCAATAAACACATGAAAATTTGCTTAATCACATAGTTGTTAGGGAAATGCAAATTAAAACCACAATGAGATACCGTTACATGCTGACCTTATTAATAAAAAGTGGATTTGCGAAGACAAGAGTCGTAGGGATTCCTGCTGCTGCTGCTGCTGCTGCTGCTGCTGCTGCTGGTGAGAACGTAAAGCTGTACTGGCTCTCTGATCAACAATCCGGTCTCACTTAAGGTTATGTCACCCAGCATTTATCAGCTGTCCCTGGGGAAACCTGCTCCGTGTGCACATGCAGCAGTACACATAGAGTGTTTATGGCAGCCTAATTGCTATGGACAATAACCAAAAGGGGAAAGGAAACAATCACTATACGCTGGGTATTTAAACTACTCTCTCCTTTAAATTTTAAATTTATGGGTTTTTTTTTTTGGGGGGGTGACATGGTTTGGATGTGGAGGTCAGAGGCCAACTTGAGGGAATCAGTTCTTTCCTTTTACCACATGGGTCCTAAGGATTGAACTCGGGTCGTCAGACTTGGCGGCAACGGTCTTTACCCACTCGTGATCCTGAATTATACCGTATTTTCATACAATGAAACACAATAGTCCTTAAGCACAGAGGATGCTTTTCAGCGTTCCACGTGGTTGCCGGAAGCTGCTAATGCTAGACCCTATATATACTACACTTTCCACCACTACACATGTATAGCTCTGACAGATTTTAATTTGTAAATAAGGCATGGTAAGAGATTGACAGTAATGAATCAGAACAATGATAAAAATATATTGAAAAAAATTAATGTATTTTCTCTTAACTACCGTAAGGCGGTTAGTATGGACATTGTGAATGTGCTGCTCTATTGATCCCAAGTGGGAGGAGTAGGAAGGCACAAGATCCTGTCCTACTACTCAGAGCTGCATGTTTTATTTATGTGTCTGTCTGTCTGTTTATGCAGTCCTGGGGATTCAACCCAAACCCTCAAATATGATAAGAAGTCTCTACCACTGAGTTGCACCTCCAGCTCTCAGAGCCACAGTTTTAAATTAATGAATCATTTATGTCTAGAATTTCCCATTGATATTTTCAGATCATAGCTGGCTGTAGGTAACTGTAACTGTGGTACATGAAACCATGGAGAAGAGAAGGAATACTGATACCTCATAATTTTGAGTTTTCAAAAAAAACCAGGAACACATATAACAACATGCCATTTATTTTCAAGTTCAAAAGAAGTTATAAAATTAAAATATATATTTTAGTTATAAACAAATATTTAATATAGAAAAATAAAATAATACATGTATAGAAAAACCAGCTATAGTTTATATTTTTAAGGAATTTTATATAAAACATTATTTATTTGTTAGGGTATGTGTGTGTGCCTGAGTATGCATGCATGCCACATGGGTGCAAGTATCTGAGGAAGTCAGAAGAAAGCATCAGATTCCCTGAAACTGAAATTACAGGTGCTGATAAGCAGCCCTGTGGGTGCTGGGAACTGAACCTGGAGCTTCTGCAAGAGTAGTAAGTGCTGTTTGTTATCTGCTGAACCATCTCTCCAGCCCCATCTCTTATGTTCTAATACAAAACATAGAGTAATGAGTACCTGAAGAATGAGAGAGGCACACGGGAGCCACCAATGTTTCATTACTGTTTGGGTTCTAAAGCTAAGTTATTAGTTAATTAGTATTTTTATTATTATTTTCAGAAAACCTCTACATATCTACCACTTGCTTTATTTATTTATTTTTTATTTATTTATTTATTTTGGTTTTTCGAGACAGGGTTTCTCTGTGGCTTTGGAGCCTGTCCTGGAACTAGCTCTGTAGACCAGGCTGGTCTCGAACTCACAGAGATCTGCCTGCCTCTGCCTCCCGAGTGCTGGGATTAAAGGTGCGCGCCACCATTGCCCGTCTTACCACTTTCTTTAATCATTGTGCAGTTTTAGAAATAATTAAAGTATATTATTTGATAGGGGAGACAATGATAACGCCGAGCAAAGTTCCAGGCTCAAATGAGTCCTCGCCGCATCCTGGTTGGAGTGAAGTCATTGAAAGACATAGTAAGGGGCTGGACAAATGGCTCAGTGATTAAGAGCATGTACTGCTCTTTCAGAGGACCTAATTTGGGTTACAGCACCCACATCAGGCAGCTCACAACCACCTAAAACTCCAGCTCCAAGGATGAAACATCTTCTTTGGCACTCCGCAGGCTCCTGCATCCATGTGGCCCACACTCAGATGTAAACGCATACACATAAATAAAAAAATAAAGTATTTTGTTTAGAAAAATAGTAAGTTTTAAATGTAGCCTTTTAATCATGTCATGTTAGTTACCAAACTCATCTATTATAAACATATACATGTTGTACATGAAAGCAACTTAGGTTGGAAATTCCAAGGAGGGGAACTAGGACCATTTCATCAAGAATAATGTGAGTCTTAAGAACTCTAAACTAGGCCGGGCAATGGTGGTGCACGCCTTTAATCCCAGCACTCGGGAGGCAGAGGCAGGCAGATCTCTGTGAGTTCGAGACCAGCCTGGTCTACAGAGCTAGTTCCAGGACAGGCTCCAAAGCTACAGAGAAACCCTGTCTCGAAAAATAAAAAACAAAAAGAGCTCTAACCGTAGAAAGAAGGAAGAATCTAGATGTTGAAAAGAGTAGGATGAAAAATGCTGTTAACTGAAATACAGTCAGGACTGGTGAAAAAAGGACAAAGCAGATGGAAATATGGATGTGCTTTTTTATTAATTCTTTGGGAATTTCTTTTTTTATTGAGCTCTACATTTTTCTCTGCTTCCCTCCCTGTCTCTCCCTCCCTCTTCAGCTCTCCTCCAAAGTCCCCATGGTCCCAATTTACTCAGGAGATCTTGACTTTTTCTACTTTCTACTTCCCATGTAGATTAGATCTATGGAAGTCTCTCTTAGTGTCCACATTGTTGTCTAAGTTCTCTGGGATTGTGGTTTGTAGGCTGTTTTTCTTTGCTTTATGTTTAAAAACCACTTATAAGTGAGTACATATGATAATTGTCTTTCTGTGTCTGGGTTACCTCACTCCAAATAATGTTTTAATATAGGAGAAACAGGTAACTCTCACTAATAAAGCAAGAAAAAAGAACTGAAAAGAGGAAAAAGAGCCAAATGTTTGCTCGACTAAAAAGTATGTTGAGAGAATGCAGAAAAGATTAGTTATAAGCTAATTCAAGCTGTTTTCTACTTTAAGTCTCTGGAGCAAATTTTCAAATTTACAGCAGCATATTTTGGAAAAGAAATGAGATGGGGTTTTTTTTGTTTGTTTGTTTTTGTTTTGTTTTTTGAGTTAGGGTTTCTCTGTAGCTTTGGAGCCTGTCCTGGAACTCTGTAGACCAGGCTAGCCTTTAACTCTGAGAGATCCGCCTGCCTCTGCCTCCTGAGTGCTGGGATTAAAGGCGTGTGCCACCACTGCCCAGCAATCTGGATTTTTATAATCAAACCCCAGCACTGAAAAGAAGATAATTAAACAGGAAGAAGAGTGCAGATGTGCAAGTCCGTCCTCTTAGACTCATGCTGGCAGCGCATTTGTAAAGGGCTTCCAACCATTGCAAAATCAAGGAGCAGTTTGCTGCAGAAACAAACACGAGGATCATACTCAGGGAAGCGCCTGTGTCTTGGAAGACCCCAGAGAAGTAGAATGTTATCTTGAGAGGCTTCAGCAAAATCCATGTAGGAAACTGAAATTCAAGTCAGTTTGTGAATCCTGCTTCCATTATTTCAGAGTTCCCCGTAAATTGGAAAAAAAAATCCAGTGAAATTGGTAAACTATTTCAACATTTTAATAATGCTCTGAATTTATACAATAGTATGACTAATTACTGTGGATGTACGATATACAATGGTTCTTTATTCTCTCCACCATCATTAAGGCAGGGGCAGAAGTAGGGGAAAAGTTTCTCCATGAAAAGACAACTGAAGGTGTAAAGATGGGTCATGGTGGCAGCGTTGTAGAAGGACACCTGCCCTCCCTCATAATCCACGTATATGCCCACCCTGTTGAGCTCACCCACTTTCAGGCTACAAGAAGGCAAATCCAGAGCCTTTAGATCAGTTTGGTTCCTCAGTCTTAAAAGCCAGAATCCTTGCTCAGGAGTGAGAGGGCAGCTCCCTTTCCGAATGATGGACTCTTTGACGACTCCAACTGTCCATTTTGGCTTCCTTCCTACTTCCACTTCCCAGTACCACTTTCCAGAGGTGAAGCCTTTTGAGCCCAGTACAGCCACACTGGAATCGAACCTCTCTGGATCATCAGGCATTACCTGCTTCACATCGCCATGACACACACTGGTCCGGCTTTTGGATAGCACCAGATTTGGATGAGCTGTTTTAGGATCCAGCGTTATTTGAGACAGGCCTAGTAAGAAAATGAGATAGCAGGAAAGGGGGTGAATGCCATTTTCCATAGTAAGAAATAATACTAACATAGATACTTTGTTTTCATTCCAATATGCAGAAACCCTTGGTCAGAAAGTTTCCCATGTACTTTCTGTTGCGTGGTGTCCATGTATAGACCTTTTTATATTAGGGATAAAGACAGACTTTGCTCTGAATTAATTTATGTTCTACTGAAGAAACAATACAAATAACGTGAATCTTGACTAATGCCAAGGGGTAAAATTAGGTGAGGCTGTCCTAGGAGGTGTCCCTGAGGAGCAAGTCTCAACTGGGATGTAACAGGAAATGTCCACTCTGGGCGAGCAGATACTGGAAGGAAGATGAAATGCAGCTGGGTGCTTGTGTAGGAGAGATTGTCTGTTAGAACTCGGGAAGACTGGGGTACCTGGTAGAGATTGTGTTTGGTTCAACATGCAGAGAGGCATTGTAGCTCTAGAGTGGTGTGTGCACTGCTCTTCAAACTATGTGGTTACCAGCCTGGGACAAGATAACACACACAATGAAAGAAAGCCACATTTAGAAATTTGTATGACAATCTAACAATGTAGTTTTATGTCATTTGAATCTGTTAATTACAAAACCAGGCCTGTACTTTGTAAACAATCTTTAATTTCACATTTGTAAGTACTTAATTTATATTGTATTCTACAGTAGTCGAATTCTGTGACAGATGGAGATATTTTTAAAATATGTAAAAACTAAGAAAATTTGCCTCATAGAAATAGACTAGTGATCACAGGAGGCCAGGAAGGATAGGAGGGATGGGGTAGAATGATAATGGATAACAGAAACCTAAATACAGTAAGATAGATGTTAATTTCAGAGTTTTATAGCACAATATGGTAATCATAATCTGCTATATATATTTTTTCCCAGTGAATTTGTTTTGTTGACAGTGCTCGAAATCAGGGCCTTGTATATGTAAGGCCAGCACTCTATTACTGAGCTGTATCCCCAGACATTTTTTATATATTTTTAACCAACTAAAAGAGTTCAAATGTTTCCACATAGAAGTGATAAATGTTTGAGGAAACATAAATATTATTAATGATTTAATTATTGTATGTTGCATACATGTATTAGATATTATATTGCATTCACCTGGAGAATGTGACAGGGATATATTTATGATTTTAACTAGGTTAATAACAAACAATAATAGTATCTATATGAATTTTGCAAAAGCTATCTAAAATTTTATTTCTATACATATCTAGACTATTGCTTCTTTTTTTTTCTGAAATACCGCTTGTGTTTTGTCCTGTTCAGACCTTTGATATTTGCAAGAATACAAAAATGCGCTCATTAGTCATATCTACTGAAATTAGATACGTTTTTCTTTGGGAAAACTGGTTGTTGTTTTTTTTTTTTTTTTTTTTGAAGCACTGATGATCTCTAACACTCTCTTATAATGTTGTGTTCTATGCTGTGGCTGGCAAGCCCTAAAAGACCTGTAAGGACTCTAAATATATGCAAGGAGTATGTATGGAAAATGCCTTCAGAGCAGAGACACTCCAGAGATTCATGTAGCTGATGCAGCAAAATAGGATAAATTGTGGCCATTTCTACACATTCTATATCAAACAAAATCATAGGCTGAGGAGTAATTATAATATCAGACTCGTATGTATTATTAGTTCAAAGATACATATTCTTAGGTCATAGCAGCAAAAGAAAAAGAAAAGGTATTTTTGACTAAACTCCACCCCAAGGGCTGGAGATATGGCTCAGTGGTTAAGAGCACTGGCTGCTCTTCCAGAGGTCCTGAGTTCAATTCCCAGCAACCACATGGTAGTTCACAACCATCTGTAATGAGATCTGATGCCCTCTCTGGCATGTAGGCATACACGCAGACAGAGCACTTGTGTACATAAAGTACATAAGTAAGTCTAAAACTTCCACCCAAGTCCATCTCCATCCTGTCTCAAACAAAAGAACTAACTGGGGCCACAGCAGAGGCCCCACAGATGAAATGTAGATTAAGGTCATAGGAATGAGTAGCTACTTCCCACTATACCTGGACAAAGAATGGACTGCATTTCCTTCCAGGTTGTATACTGGATGGGACCTTTGAAGCGGCCTGGGCTCAGCTTTTTGGAGATAAGCTGACTGGGAGTAAGTGCCCTCATTCCTTTCTCCACACTGTAAGGGACACAAAGAGTTTATTTTTTAGGCATCCTCAGGGACAGAAGGCAAGGGACAGAGTGCCATGGAGGAGCACTTACCTATCTATGAGCTTTGTGATGTCCTAAAATAGAAAAGGAGAGATAGAGCAGTCAGATGCCTGTTTATCATCTCTAGAAGTCTGTCTGGTTGTTCTGGTTGAACACCATCCAGGTTTAATTGTCAATACTGGCTTCCTGTGCAGGTGGTCCTCAGCCCATCTTCAACAACAGTTTGCATCCTCCATGGGCTTTTTCCTCAACACCCCAATCTAACCCGGGAAAAACTGACCTCTCACTTGCTAACTTCCTGATTTCTGTAATCCCAACTCTCATAGGAAACAGTAAAGGTGCCAGTAAGTTCATAGTTAAGGTCAACTTTTTTTAAAGTGAACACTTCTAAATCCTCCCACAAGATAAAATCAGAAGTAATCCCAGTGCCAAGGGTAACTAAACTTTTGAGTACTGAGGTGATCACCAGAGACTTCAGGTAGCAAAGTTTGACAAAAAGATTTTTAAATATTTCAGATTATGATTTCTGTAAGCCCAAAACTCAACAAAAGGCTATCAGAGACATTTTTTTAAAAAAAGAAATAAAGCTTCAAGGTTCTTTAGGAGAAAACAAAAATATTGATGAACTTGTACTAATCATGTGTTTTAGCGATGTGAAAGCACAGCTTCCCACTGAACTCAGAACAAAAGCAGCCTACGTTTCTCCCAGAGGATCTTAAAGCGCTGCCATGGTTGGGCTGGGTGCAGATCAATTGAGCTTTCCTTGCCCCCCAACCCCAGGCCCCTTTCCTCCAAGTGTACCCATAATCAAATTGGTGTGGAATCTCACTTTGAGGAAGTCGAAGGGATTCTGCTGTTCAATCCGTGTCTGAATGTTTGCCAGCATGTCTCTGGCGAGAAGACACTGTTCCTGAAGCTGGTTCAGATTCGCCTCCATCTCCTCGCTCAAGACTTTTCCCTCGTTCCGGAGCTCGTTTAGAATGTCCTTCTCTTTGTTGTGCAGGAACTGATGCAGTTTTAGAAACTCCAGGGAAAGTTGTTGTTGCAATTGTATCTTGTTGTCCTGGAAACCTCCATAATCATCACCACGATTACTACTGAGACTAGCTAGCACTTAGAGACAGGGGCTCACACTACACAACGCACCTTGGAAAATTCCATACAAGTGATTATTTAGCATCAACATTCAGTCCTACCTAGCAGAGCCCTATGGGAGGCTTAATCCTTCTTTCCCAACTAGTTTAATGGTGTAAGAGGAAAGGTTTTGCTTTCATTTTGTTCCTCAGTGCTTGGATGATAACCAGTGTTCTATTAAATAATGTGGAGTCATTCAAACATTCTAAAAAGATGTTTTTGGAGAGAGGTGGTTTTGAGACAAGATTTCTCTGTGTAGCCTTAACTGTCCTGGAATTCACTCTGTTAACCAGGTAGGCCTCAGACTCAAGAGATCCACCTGCCTCTGCCTCCAGAATGCTGGGATTAAAGGCATGTACCACCACCACCCAGCTAAACATTCTAAAATTAATGCCAACAATACCTTCCTAGACTGGCAAAACCGTATCTACCAAATGATACTGTTAAACTAGGGCCATAAGGAACCTAGGGAACCTATTCTTTCAAAACCAAAACTACTCTTGCTGCCAGGACAACATAAAAGAAACAGGTTATGAACAATGCATAAAGTGCTAAACTTGATAATCACTACACTTGAAGTTTGTGCATGCAAGGTGTGTGTGTGTGTGTATGTGTGTGTGTGTGTGTGTGTGTGTGTCCATCCACAACTTCCTCCCTGGTGAACTCTGTATAGCCTGGCTTCTTAGTTCCTCATTGTCTTTATTTCTAATAACTTAGAACTTTTTCCTCTTATTCTCAACCACACATAGAATTTTATCATTTACAGAAAATGTATCATCTCCATGTATCATGACTTTTTGCTCCAAGTTCACTTGTTCCCTACTGGGGCACTGTTGAAAGTTTGTATTCAACCTGGGCGTGGTGATTCAAGGCCCTATTCCCAGAGCTTGGTGGAGGGGACAGGGGGACAGAGGCAGGAAGATCGCTATGAGTTCAAGGCTAGCCTGGTCTACATAAGTGAGTTCCAGGGCTAAATGAAGAGACCCTTTTCATTAAGAGCATATGGTGTAGGGAGGTGACCATATAGATGTGGTGATAGATCAAATAGGAGTGAATAGCGAACCTGGAGCCCAAAAGCTGGAGAAAAGCTGTCAGCATTAGATTTAAGAAAACAACAAAATAAGTTGGTAATCATTGCCCCGCCCCCTGTTTCTGTTAATAAACTTCCATCTTCATTGCCTGTCTTATGTAGCTTAGATTCCTTGGACAACTATTATTATTCTCTTAAAATAGTCTTAACTGTTCTTCTCACCCACGTGTTTCCAGTTTCCCTTTCACCTTTCTCAGGATTTCCCAGTCTAATTAGTTCCACTTCCTCTAACTGCTTTTTTTTTTTTTTTTTTTTTTTTTTGGATTTTCAAGACGGTTTCTCCGTAGCTTTTGGTTCCTGTCCTGGAACTAGCTCTTGTAGACCAGGCTGGCCTCGAACTCACAGAGATCTGCCTGCCTCTACCTCCTGAGTGCTGGGATTAAAGGCATGCGCCACCACCGCCCAGCTTGCATTTTAAATATTAAAATTAGTATTTATCTTAAGCTCATTCTATGCTTTCTAGAAAATACCCCCCCCAGCAGCTTTAAATACCTTTAAATCTAATGCTGACAGCTTTTCTCCAGCTTTTGGGCTCCAGGTTCGCTATTCACTCCTATTTGATCCATCACCACATCTATATGGTCACCTCCCTACACCATATGCTCTTGTTTATCTCTGTATATACACTGCTCATTTAGTGCCAAACAATCAAGTGCCATTGTTTTTGGCATACTAACCTGCAACAGTTTTCTAACCATATGGTCTTATCATTGTCTCTCTAACTCATTTTTTTTTTTTTTTTTTTTTTTTTGGTTTTTCGAGACAGGGTTTCTCTGTGGTTTTGGAACCTGTCCTGGAACTAGCTCTGTAGACCAGGCTGGTCTCGAACTCACAGAGATCTGCCTGCCTCTGCCTCCCAAGTGCTGGGATTAAAGGCGTGCGCCACCATCGCCCGGCTCTCTAACTCATTTTTCTCATGCATGCTAGGCAAGTATTCTACCAACAGCTGAGTACATTTCCAGCTCGTGACTTCTTTAGTGCATCGTCCTCCTCCACCTAAATTAGAGTCTCCACATAGCTCTCTCTTTGATACTCTGTTTTCGTATCATATTGTACTAGTCACTATTGTTATTTCTTGGTATTGCTGGCATTATTTAATACCTGTCTCCCAAACTAAGATTCTAGTGTGGGATTCTAATGCCTTGGCCCATTTGATAAATATTTGTTGAATGAATATTGGTTGTAGTTTCTGATTATAATTGGCTGTAGTTTCTGTGGAGATAATTGCCACATAATTTAGCCCCCAACCTAGATACTGATTTGCTGACTTTTTACTATTGTTTAGCACTCCTGTGAAGCCTAAAATGGAAAGACATGTATAGGCAACAGCTTTACATAGTTTGGGAGCAGTTAAGGAAGATAAATCAGATGGGGGGGGGATGTAATCTGAGAATCCATGGTTCAGAGGTACCAGGTTATAAACTCAAAGGAAATAAAAGTATTTCTTTGGACATAGCCATCTTTGGTAGGTTTTACTGGGGAAGTCTTTATTTTGCCATAGGTGAAAGGACAAAGCAGATCTCAATAACACATTGTTCACCTAGTGACTTAACCATCAAAAGACGGCATATTAGGACAAAAGGCAATCTGTTCAATTGATCAAATATTGGGAACTTTTCCCACCATATGTTTCTTCCTATCCTGCGTGAACAAACTGGCACTAACTGTAACCCAGGTGCCCTTTATATATTGATATAGCTGGAGGGGACATTCCAGCTCTGCTTCATAAACCCTTTCCCCTGCCCCTCACCTTGTAAGCAGCAATAGCATCTTTCTGCATAGTTCTGAGAGACTGAAGCTCCGTGAGGGTGTTCTGAAGTTGGCTCTGATAGGTAGCTAGCTCATCCTAAAAATAGCAAATAGAATTAACCCACAGCAATTTGGGAGATAAAGAAAACAAAGCACAATTACTGGAGAGATGATGCCACACAAACATGAGGGCCTGAGTAAACAGCTGGGCATGGTGGCACACACTTAAGTCTAGTGCTGGGAAGCTGGAGACAGACTCCTTGGGACTAGCCAGCCCAGCCTAATCTGCAAACCCAGGTCTTTGTGAGAAACCCTATCTCCAAAAACAAGGCAGACAACTCCTTGAGGTACAGCCTAAAATTTTCCTCTGGCTTTCACATGCATGTACACACATGTGTATAGCACAAAGAGACATCTGTGGGACAGGAAAAGAGCTGTGCCAATAGCACAGGGAGGCAGATGTGGAATAGGACAGGCTAGGCAAGGTGGGAAGTCCAGTCCTGGCTCCAGAAGAGATTCTGCCACGGTGTACAAGGCACACCAGTATTTGTTTGAAATTTTAACATACGATAGCGCATTGCTGGGATGGGTGAGATGGCTCTGTGGGTAAAAGGCACTCATTGCTAAACTTGTCAACCTGAGTTCAGTCTCCAGAAACCACATCATGGAAAAAGGACCAACTCCTTCAAATTGTTCTCTCTCTCTCTCTCTCTCTCTCTCTCTCTCTCTCTCTCTCTCTCTCTCATGTGTGTGTGTGTGTGTGTGTATATCTCGCACACACACACAAGGAAGTGGGGTGGAAAAGACATCTATAAAAACATGGTGTGCCGGGAAATAAATAAGCTCTGAGGTGTTCTTTCTTTGGAGTTCTCCCACTCTCTGGAGTTCTCTCTCATTTTTCTCTAATAAGTCTGTGTTCACTCAAGTAAACTCTTGTAACAAAGACATGTTACACTTCCACTGTGCCATAATTCCTGCCTCTTGAGAACTGTGACTAGGGCTGAGGATTGGCTCAATAGCATAGTACTTGTTTTGCTTACACTATGCTCTGGGCTTAATCCCAAACACCACCAAAACAAAATTTTTGAGTATAATAAGGTTATACTCAAACATCTTATTATCTAGATATAGGGATTTGAGGAGGCTACCGTAACTGCATCTGGACACCTTTCCCTACGCTGTTCCCATTGGAGCATTTCCTTCTCCCTTCTGCCCATCCAAGCCCAAACGATTCTCCAGTTCTAGTCTCATACCTTTCCTTCACTGAATCTCCCCTGCCCCTCTCAGAAATCCAGAACACTTAGAAATTACAGATGTGACAAACTTCACTCTCACTAATAATTGTCATATACTGTTTCCATTGTTGTGCTTATTTGACACTTCATCAAAGTTTGAAACCTTTATAGCAGGAACACTCTTTTCTGTTCAAGTTTTACCCAGTGTGTGACTGAAGGAGTCAGCCATAGCTCCCCCTTAATGCCTTTCCTACATGGGAGCTTCTCTACGGAAAGAACTTTCCAGGGCATGTTGTATTTCTGAGGGCACTACACTTTCTCATTATTTGAATAAAGGGATGAGGTCAGAAGAAAGAAGCAGCCCTCCAAAAGAGTTTTCCTAAGGGATTGCTCGCGGCCCAGGTCTCACACACCGTAAAGAAACGGACAGCATCAGAGATTTGCAGGAAATCCTTAGACTGCCCCATAGACAACCGTGCATCCTTGCATTGAAAGCAGATCATTTTCCCTTCTGGCTTACTGAACAGTTTCAGGTTCTCTCCATGCTCTTGGCACTGCGGATGGCCCTTGAGCAGGGGTGACTTCTTAATCTTCTCTACCAGCTTCTCCAGCACAAGGTTGAATGTACAGTTGCTATACTGGCATAGCATCTTACAGTCAGGACAGAACGTTTCCTTTGCATGCAGTTTCCAGAAGTTTTGAATACAGAGTTGGCAGAAGTTGTGGCCACAGCTCAGCATCAGTGGATCACGGAACCAATCATTACACAGTGGGCAGTGGAGCTCCATCGTAATATCTTGTATCACCACTTTTGAGGGTGCGTGGGTGGTTGGATCAGACATTTCAACATAGTTGCCTGGATCGAAGTTAGAGGAGGGCCTGGAGGATACCTTTGGGAAAGAATAGCTTAATTAAGGCTCTCTCACTGCCCATTTCAATACACATGGATGTAGAACTCCATTCCTAAAGGAGCTGAGAATTCATTCACCCAAAGCATCGTAATCTCTTCTTTGAAAATAATGCAATGGAAGCTGAAGAGATGATTCAGCAGTTAAGGACACATACTGCTGTCACAGAGGACCCAAGTTCAGTTCCCAGCACGCACTAAAAATGGCTATAACTACAGTTTTTGGAAACCCAACACGTTTTCTGGCCTTCACAGGAACTACACACATTTAGACCCACATACACATAATTTAAAATAATTAAATAAATAAATTAAAAATAAAACAATACAGTGAATTTAATGTCTTCTAACATCATAGTTTGTGGCACTATTTCAAGCTTTAATGCAGACCCAAAGCAGGAGAAGAAATTACTCTTTCAAAGATAAAGATACATATTTTGTTGTACATTACTCTCTTTACCAATCTTCTCCAGTTATGCTTTGAATTTTTTATTTCCAGTTTCTGTTTCATTGATTATATTTTTATTTTCTATGGATCACGCATACCTAGAAATGAAGTGTCTGGGGCATCCATCCTGAGCACAGTTATCCCACTGACATCAGAATACACATTATTTTTATATGTACATGGAACATTCTCTAAAACCATATGTTAAGTCACAAGACAAATCTTAATACATTTGAAAGGATTAAAATCATATGAAGTGTGTGATGGGTTGAATAAGATTGGCCCCTTTAGGCTCATAGATTTGAATGCTTGGTCATTAGGGAGTGGACTACATGACAGGGATTAGGAGGTGTAACCTCTTTGGAGGAAGTGTGTTCTTCTATTTTGTTATTGTCTTCCTGACTTTGACTTTAAAGGGATCAGAGTATAGTATGAAAAGGCAATGGCAGTTGGTTTTTCTCCTCCAGAAAATGTAAACAAAATATTTGCTGCTCAGTTTCCTTCAGTGGCCAAGGACAAAGAAGAATGTGAGCAGACCTCAAAGTCGTGCAGTAGAGGAGGTTAGAGCCTGATCATCATAGCAAAGAACTGCAGGCGGCAAATTCAACCTCAAGCTGTTGTGGTGGGATGGGCCTGGAATTCCGACATTTGTGAGGTGGAGCAGGAGGATCTTGAGTTCCAGACCAACCTGCATAAAGAAATCTCAACTCAAAACTTAAACCTACCAAATCAGAACACCAAACAGTAAGTTTCATAAGTAAAAATTTGGGGAAAATGATAAGTCAGCAAGGTGGGGGGCAGGGGGGTTCATGTGTTGGGATTTCTTGATGAGCTTTAGTGGGGTTTCCCCTCTTCTGGTAAATTATCATTTTCTTTAGTCTCTCTGACAACACTAGAGTTTAGAAGTCTGACTTCCTTTAGTTTTAAGGTGTCTTAGAACAAGAAAATCTATTTAAAACCTTTATCTGGGCTGGGGAAACGGCTCAGCAGGTAAAGATGCTCACCTCCAAGCTTGAAGACCCAAGTTCAATCCCTGGGATGGAGGAAGGAGTGAACAGATTCCTGCAAATTGTCCTCTGACCTCCACACTTGCTATTGCATGCACACCCACACACATACACAAAATACACAAATCTAATTTTAAAAATATTAACTTCTCTATTTTAACTTAACACACCAAATGTGATAGTATGACAAATTATAATTAATAATTTTCATCAAAATATAATATTATTAAAAAGTAAACTTTTGTATAATGTTTATTTCCGTTATTCAAAAGTTATGGTAGATTTTCTTAGTTTCTTACCCTCCTCTCTTATTTCTGTTTTTTCAAAGGCCTAGAGAGCATAGAAGGTTAAAGCTATACATTAAATATTACCTTGATTTCCTTTCTTGATCCACAGTCCATACCCCATTCCTATGATCTTGTTTTCCACACTATCCAGAAAGCCTACAGGGTTGTTGGAAACTTACCTCCATGGAGCTTGGTCATCAGGCCACCAGGGGGCAGAGACAGGCAACTTGGCTTTGCTCAGTGGGCCCAGGATGGCTGCAGACCGGTAGTCCTGGGCTTGTTAGTTTGCTAGGGACAGAGTCAGGGCCCATGAGAGGAGGAGGGAAAGTCCAGGAGCTGGAGAAGAGAGGCAAGGCCAAAGAGAGGTCTGGCAGGTTCCGTGACAGTTTGTCAGTTGCCTTGGTCATATTCACTTTCAAGAAACTCTGATCGGATTGGAATGGCCTGCCAACCCCTTTCATTTTAGTTTATTTGGGGTAGGGTTCTTTTAAATCGAGGTGGTAATCTAATTTTTAAATATTTAATCTTGTGTGTGCCTGTGCATGTGTGTGCCACATGTGTGGAGATGCCCACAAAGACCAGAAGAGGGATCAAATTCCCTGGGGCTGGAGTTACAGGTAGTTGTAAAAACCACCTGATGTGGGTGCTGCAATCAGACTCTGTCCTCTGTAAGCAAAGTACACGCTCTTGAAGGCTGAGCCATCTCTTCATCCTGGTAATGTCATCTTCAGGTTTACAGATCTCACTTCGGAATGAGGCTGCTCTAGAAGAGAGAACTCAAACAGCAGCAGCAGCTATCCACCTGACTTTAGAGACAGCCTTCACACCCCCTCCCCGGGCCCGCCATCTCAAGGACACTGGACCTTTAGCGGGTAGCTCTTTCCCTCTCACCTTCCTGCCATCTATTGAAGAAGATGTGAGCGAGTAGCAGGGCCTGAGGTTGGGCCCTACGGAGGCAGGGAAGATGCTTTCACACAGCTTGCTCTAGTGCTTTTAGCTTAGAGATTTGCACTAGACCATGCTCATCCAGGGCATGTAAAGAACTATCTCAGAGCCAGAAGGTTCGCTGTTTTGTTTATAGTAATTCTAACCCAATATATTGTCTGCAGTGGGTAGTGCCTGTCTGCTCATATGCCTTGCTCCTCTGGCTTTGCACAGGCTGTCCCTTCTGCTAGGGGGCGCTCTTTGCCAAGAGAGTTGCTGAGAAATCAGAGAGGGGTAGCTCTTTATGTAGCTGCACCTTACAGCTGTTTCCATCTTAGCTCTGATTATACTCCGTTGTTTCTTTCATAAAACCTATTTGCTTTATATATCTCCCAAGAAACTGAGCTTCTTGAGAGGAAGTACTACCTTCTTAGGCCCCCAGGCCTACCACACTATCAATATGTAATAAACGCTGGCTGAGAGAGTGAACAAATGAGGGGCACCTGTGGATGGCCTCTTCCCCGGCCCCGCCTCCTTTCTGTTTGCTTGTTTGGTTTTATTATATTTGGGAGGAGGTGGTTTGGTTGTTTAGTTGGCTTGGTTTGGTTTTGGTTTTTGGTTTTAGAAGCAGGGCCTCTTTACATAGCATTGACTGCCTTGGAATTCACTATGTAGACCAGATTGGCCTCGAACTCAAGGAGATCTGCCTACCTCTGCCTCCCAAATGCTGGGATTAAATGCCCTGCATGTATGTTTGGTTTTTATATTTGGTGCTATGATTAGCTCAGTACCTTGTACAAGCACTCTAATTACGGCCCTAACCCAGCCTTCTTTCCAATCGGATGGCTGAACAACCGCTGCTCTTCTGGCTTGTTCAGAAAAAGAAGAGAGTGGCTCTTCCACAAAAAGCACTTTCCTATCACGGAAGCCAAGAGGCATGAAGACACCACACTGGCAGTTTCTCTGTCTTCCCTGTAGAGGAACAGTGAGACCGGTAGAGCCACACCGGGGGGGGGGGGGGGGGGGGGGGTGTTCATGTCTTTTGTGTGCCTCAGAAGAAAGGAGTATAAACCACAGGAACTTTTCCTCTGCTGCAAACTAAGAGTGGAGGGACGATCTCTCAAACACCGCCTGATTGACGTCTTCTGTAGCATGAGGGTCTCTGTCACTGGACAGCACAACAACAAACCCCCATATTTGCTCCAGTCAGAAATCTACCTGCATGATCCCGGGGCACTGAAACTAAAGGAGCAGGGGAGACGCACAAGGCTAACCTTTAAAACTTATGCTCTGTTGGCAGAAAATGCTGTGGGCTGCTAGGCATGGTCGTGCACACCTGTAAAACCAGCGCTTGAGTGACAAGCGGGGAAACCAACCAGTTCATGGCTAGCCTGGAGTTCAGAGTGAGTCCTTGTCTCAGAAATCCTTTTTAAAAACCCACAGAACTGTGTACTAATAAATATTCAAAACTGTTAACAGTGAGGCTGCTGCTCCTAGCTTTGGACACCTCTTTTTAGAACTATCCGGTGAAAAGCTGGGCTTGGGGGCTCATGCCTATACCCAGCCCTTGGGAGATGGAGGCAGGAGGATCATAGTGAGTTAAAGCCAACCTCAGCTATATGTTTGTTTGAAATGTCTAGGGGGGTGGCTCTGTATGAAGAGGTTAAGGATCTGACTTGGAATCCTCAGAACCTGCTTAGAGCCAAGTGCCATAGCTCATTGTAATCCCAGTGTTCCTACCATAAGACAGGAAGTGGAACCAGGAGGATCCCAGAAGCTTGCAGGCTAGCTAACCTACAGAAAAGAGAACCTGTCTCAACCTAGGTGGAAGGTACGGACCAACACCCAAGGATATTCTCTGACCCACACATGCGTGCTCCCTCCACGTGCATGTCCACACACAAATAGACTGCTCCACCAAACCCCTGCTGCCCAGTGAGACCACTACCTTCCTGGGAGCCTTTGGAAGCTGGGTGGTGGGCCCCAAAGAGTCAAAAGAGTAAGAGTAAAAAACAACCAACAACATATCTCAAACACAGTGGCAAAAATACCGCACAATACAGCATTACTGTAGGGATTTGGGTATAACCATGGAACCTGGTAGACAATTGGAAGCCTCGGAAGGAAATTAGTGGAGCTGAGGGGTGGGAGCCATGCCTAGCACTCCATCACAGGCTCCAACCTAGTCACCCAGGCAACACTACAGAGACACGTGACTCTGGTAGGCTCTCCTATCCACTCTGCCTCGTACAATCACAGGCCATGACTACATTTTACCTCTCCAGGCAGGGAAAGAGAGGCCTTCCAGTGAGGCTGGGCAGCCCTTGAAAGCAAAGCCCATCACCTCGTCTCTACGTAAGCATCCAGCAACTGATCGGGAACCTATCTGTTTTATCCTTTTCATCTCAAGAATTCCTGCCAGGGTAGCTATTGGGAGGGAGAACTGGAGCATGTGCTGAGTTTGTTACACTGGTGGGGCTGGACCGTGCTAGGCTGTGTAGATGGAGATAACCAGGAAGAAGGCTGTCAAGGGACACTCCAGGTTGCAGAGCAGAGATCACAAAACAGGTTGATAAGGTGTAAATTCCATCTAGAATTCCAGTCTTGCTTCTCCTCCCCAGCCCTGGTACCCCTGCCTCCTAAAGCTTTGTGAACTGCTCACTCAGAGCGGGTTGCCACATCACCAGACTGCAGGCAAAAAGTGCGGGTTGGTTAGCAAAAGGACTTCCCCACACACTTCCCCCTAGCTTCCTCTTTCACCAAAGCCCTTTGTAGGAAAAGGGAAGGGCCATTGTTCTCCTTTCCCATCTGCCCGCACAGATTACATCAGCAGTCCCACTGTCTAATCAGTCCCCAGTGAGGCTTCAGGAAATTAAAAGGCACCTTCTGGTTACTCCGATGATGACATTACTTGTAGTGTCCAGAAACTGAGGGTCAGAGGTCGCAGCCTACAGACACATAAGTCTTTATAATCTGGGTTTACAATCGCATGTAAAAATGTTTAAAATTGTTTTATTTCTTGAAATTGTGTTGACCACCTGCTATGTCTGGCAAATACAACTGAATAAGTACAAGGTAACTCAAAAGGTATAGTTTAGGATTTTTGTTTGTTTTGGTAATTTTACCTAAATTGTCACCATTTCAGAAAAGCATCACAGAGCCAATAGAATCAGAGCTGGGGCTCAAACAATATGGCAAAGTGTGGTGCCAGAGAGGCTGCACACACACACACACACACACACAAGCCAGGTTTACTGATCAAGGTTTAATCAGTGGACACAGGACTTAGGTACAGGAAGTTGGAAATATAGTCCTTCTTGGCACCCTAAGTTCCAAAGGACAGGTAGCAAGGGTTCACCCCTCTACCAGCAGCCCTGGGGTTATTTTCAACGTAATAAGGGTATTTTTTAAGGTGTCTTGTAGGGATCTGGAGAAACGGTTCAGCAGTTTCAAGCAAAGTTTGGTTGCCAGCACCAAAGTCTATAATTCCAGCCTCTGGCCTCCAAGGGGACTAGCCTTCATACACGCACACACACACACACACACACACACACACACACACACACAGCCATGACCAAGTTTCTTTGTAAGGTCTCTTGGTGGAGCCTGGGGTTCTTTGTCCCAGGTCCCTCTCCCAGGCTCTTCTTGAGCTCTTGGCTGCTGGAAGAAGCAGCCTTTGGAAGTGCTAGCCCAATCTCCTTTCCTTCTGCGGAGTTCCCAGGCTGCCACTGAAGTCTTGTGATGTCTAAGCGAAGGAAGAACTTCCCATGAAGCTCCCCTCCCTTGCTTAAGCCCAGCAGGATCACAACCATCTTCAGTTCTACTGAAACTTGACTAACCAAGTAAGATTAAACAGGAGACTGAGGCTCCAACACTATACCTAGTACTCCAAGGAACTCTGTCCCAGATTGTTGTCTTCTGGGCCCATTTACCTCCCATAAAAACCATTAGTGGGGGTGTGGAAGATGCCTCAGTCTTTAGGCCTTAGGACCTGACTGCAACCCTCCGTACTCATGTAAAAGCTGGGAGTGGTGATATTGCCTATCATCCCAGGGCTGGGGAGGTGGACACCAAGGATCCCTGTCTTAGTTATGATTTCTATTGCTGTGAAGAGATCCCATGACCAGGGCAACTCTTAGGAAGGAAAACATTTCATTGGCACTGGCTTACTGTTAAAAGATTTAGTCCATTGTCATCACGGCAGGAGCATGGCAAGCATGCAAGCATAGTTGATGTTGGAGATATACCACCTGAGAATTCTACATCTGGATCTGTAGGCAGCATACTTCCTCCAACAACACCACACTAACTCCAACCAGGCCACACCTAATAGTGCCAGTTCCTATGAGTCTATGGGGGGCATTTTCTTTCAAACCACCACAATCCCTAAGGCTTGCTGGCCAACTAAATCTCCAAATTTGAGGTTCACAGAGACTCTGTCTCAAAATATAAGGTGGCAAGTAATAGCAATTGAGGAAGACAGCCAACAACAAGCACCTCTGGCCTCTGCATCCATACACACACATACACACATGCACGTGCAAACATATTCATACAAAAATTAATTGAAAGGCTTAGCAGTTAAGAGTACTGGCTCTTCTTCCAGAGGACCCAGGGTTTAGTCCCCAGCACCCACATGGTGGCTCACATTCATCTCTAACTCTAGTTCCAAGGGATCTAACACCCTCTTCTGAACTTCCTGGGCACTAAGCATGCATGAAGTATACATATGTACACTTCAATATACATATATGTACACGTATCACATACATAAAAATAAATGAATAATTCTAAATTTGAAATAATAACAATTGAATGAACAAATGAATAAGCTTACTATTAATAATTACTTCACTTTTGGGTTATAGTGACTATTAACTAGTAATTAATTGTTATAACAAAATACTTGACACAAGCTACTTAATAAGATTTATTTAACTTACAGTTTTGAAATTTCAAAATTAAACCATTAGTACAGACTCTATGCCAAAGGTTCCTCCTCCTTCATACCAATAGCAATGGGAAAAATGGGAGTGAGCAAGTGATTACACGTCAGACCAGCAAAAGGGACAGAAGGCCAGGTTTGCTGCCTTTCTAACAGCCTTTTCAGAGCTCAGAAAGATCTCCATGCTCTGGGAGCACCACAGGACCTCCCACTAGACCCCACCTCTTAAAGGGACTTTTGGGGGATACGGCTAAAACTGTATCAGAATTTCATAGTAACTTTTGTATTAGGATTCAAACTTAGTTCCAAATTGATTAGCCTCACTTTGACATTAGCCCTTAGAAACTGAACTGGTAATGCGACTTTCAGACTGAGTGTGCCGAAGGCCCAAGAGAGTTTCACAGGAAACCAGCAGCCGCTGATGCCCCGCCTACATCCGGCAGTAAGAGCCAGTCTTGGGTTTCTGCACGCCAGTACCTGCACACCAACGTCTCTGGGCTTTCGTCCTATCACATAGCCCTGTAGAACCAGCAAACGCTAGTCCACATGGCCAAGACAAACTTTAAGGTGTAGTTTTCGCTCTAGAGCTCTCTGTGAGAGCAGCACTTCTGAAATCCCTACTCCCCTCAGTTTCTCCCTAGTCCCTGTCACCATCCTCTCCTATTGGTTTGCTTTGGAGTCTTTTCTTAGTTACGGTCCTCTAGACCCCTAGTTCAGGACCTGCTTCTGTGAGACCCTCTTCAGACACTCACTGGCTCTCCAGGTAATAAAAAGCCACACGCACACAGCAGACATTTAAGGCTACCTAGAAACCGCTCCACTTAACACTCTAACAATGTCTAGCAAAAGCCCCCTTTTTTTTCTCCTTTATTTTGGAGTAAAAATAACAAAGAGGAAGTAACCTATGGGGTTGGGGGAGAGGATGGCTAAACACAATGGCAGACTTCAGTCGGGTCCGTGTGTTTACCAAAAGGAAAACATCTCAGATTTCTTAGATTTTTAAAAACTGATTTATGTTGTGATAGACCAAGGATGAATAATTGCATCCAACTAATAAGATGTACAAAAGGTTTG